TTGCATCATGATACGTACCGCTAACGTTCAATCTTCTAGAAACCTTACAAGACTATTAAAATACCTAAATCTATACTCGTATATCTACGGAACCTGATCACTTGAATATTCCAGGAAATAGCGGTAAGATATATGAATAAAAAGCCGTACACACACACCACAGTAGACTACAATGACCGAAACAAAAGAGAAATAGGGGAAGATTGTCTAACAGCATTTAATCCTCAACATAGCAATCTTCTATTGCCGGGAATATAGATGTCTGTTCGTAAAAGGCTAATTGTTATGTATGGATACGTTTACAACACTGGCCAGGAGGCAAAATACAACAATATTTCAAGTGTTCCTACAAATACATTGAGCTGCTCCTTGATAATATTATACAGGCCAGAGAATCAGTGAAAAATAGTTGAGTGATTTCGCAACCCATCAATATCGAATAGGTAATAACTTGTTCTTGACTTAAGATTTTCTCAGAGCAGTAAGGGAAACAATGATTCTTTGAATGTCTACTATAACATCGTTCGAGCTAGATCAATCTAGGACGGGTGAGAGATTGTATCTAATCGGTGCCAAATTAAAGTTACGCAATATCGTTGGATTGACGTAAGCGGGAACGAATGCAATCTAGCACGCGAGGGAGATGCTGATCTTATACTTATAGCAAATCGCGAGCATGTCCAACCTAGTAGGCTATTACCGTATTGACCAGGCGGCTAGGTCTAGGCTTTATATCAAATTTTCCTTCCCCTTGCATTAGTGTTTGTTACGCTTTGTTTTTTATACCTCTTACGATATCTATGTAAAGGAGTAACAATACTTTATAAAATTCTAGAGTCCTGCCCCGGTGTCTTTATCTTATAGTTATAAATTTTACACATACCTTTCGATATTAATCATAAAACTGAAGTACATAATTTTGCTCTATTGTCACTAATTTCCACAGCGTACGCTATATAGTTATGTATTTTAAATCTTACATATTGAGTTGCATTTTAGAAGATTCCATACGGATCCATTACATTTTCAAAATAATCTATAACCTATGTTCATCTGAGACAATGAAGGATTCTAAGCGTAAAAGAATTTTTCAAATCGGTTCGGCTAGTGGATGAATGAAAATAGAAAATATGGCAGTCAAAACAAAAGTCGCTTACGTAATCACAAATTTCCCATTAACTACATGACCCACGATAGTAAAGCTTCAATTAGTGCTACATTTATTACTTTTTTATACCTCAATGCGGTGTGGTAAACATAATCAAATTCAATTTGTTTAAGCACGTATTTCCGTAAGCTATATACAGAATTACGAGCAGTAACTAACCTTTACCACAGAATACAATTATGGTGTAGGACCACACACTGAAGACGAAACTTTTTCACCGGTATTTGTTATTAATTAGGGTTTATAGAAAGGAACGTGGTTTGATGAAGCTCCAAGCCGAATCATCGAAGATTCAGTACATAGTGGAATCCAAAGAGAACATATCTTCAGAGGGATAGAAATTATTGATATTAACACAGATACGGAAGATTTGCGGAAAGTCAAAAGTGACAAGTACGTAGCTCAATGTACCAACAACTGATGTACACTATCAGGTACGCCGCAAGCATAGGTGCAAACCCTATTAAAAATGAAAATAAAACCTACAATAACTCATACTTCATAGAAGGTGATTTTTAGCAAAGTGGACTGTTAACAGGTTGACTAACCCGGGAAACTAGCTAGTTCCCCCTGAAAACCACCATGATAAATTTCGGGTGAATTTCTCACGATGAGCTATTTGACCTGACATGTCCATCTCATCATCCACTGGTGCCCCGCTAGGGTATACCGTTAGCGCTGACGGATGTATCATTCCATATTAATATTAAAAAAATACACCACAGTTTGGAAGAAAAGCTGAAAAAAGGTTTTACACTATTGAAATTTAAACCATCAAGGCAGGCGTTGTCTTTTTGAGCTTATTTGCTTTTCCAACTTAAAAAACACATTTATACGTCATACGGCTACAAAACATGAACACAAACACCATCTAATCCCAATAATAATATATACTAATATTACAACGCTGAAGAGTTTGTTTGTTTGTTTGACAGCGCTAATCTCAGGAACTAGTGGTTCGAATTGAAAAATTCTTATTGTGTTGGATAGTCCATTTGACGAGGAAGGCTTTAAGCTTAACATTACGCCACGACCGTTAGGAGCGGGGCTGCAATGAAACATATAGCAAAAGATATGGAAATTAAACACAGACGAAGTTGCGCTGGTCACTTAGTTATATATATAACAATTATACAACTAAAAGGAAAATTAGGCAACCAAACAATGTCGCCTCATGGATAAACACTGTATCCCCATATATGAATATATAATTGTTTCATATGACACAATTACAAGTGCGTTGACCCCGCGGATCGCGAGCGACGACCGCGGTCGGGGTCGCAGCACAGATATCAATAGATCATTTGAGAGATAGCCTGACCTACTGCTATATGACAGCCCGTGTTCTATTAGTGAAAGGTATAGGTGTACTATACTCGACCGGAAGCTGTTAAGTCTTGGATGTTTTTTTGTTTTCGAGTACGTACTGGACTGGTGTTCTGGAACATACTGGACTGGTGTTCTGGAAAGTACTGGAAACCAGGCTCGCAGGCAGAATGGGAATCAGAATCAAATCATGATCATGATCATCAACTGCATACTTTTCTTTATTTCAGCGATTGGTAATATACAGACAGACATGTCGGTTTGTTATTGCTGTTTATTCTTCATAACGTATTAACATACTTGCATAAATAATTAATTTAAAAAAAACTGTTTCTTATTATATCTCTAAAACGGCTGAATCGATTTTGACGGGAGTTTCACTCACAAATACCTAATGTTATATGGAGTAACTTGCGTTACTTTTAAAAAAAATCAAAGCGTACAAAGTCGCAGGTAACAAGCTAGTTATCAACAGAATTTGCCACACCTTTGATATCTCAAATCTCTACATTTGCAAACAATGACACCACAATCAAGTCTGAACCCGCGACAATATCTCACCCATCCACCTGTTCACCGAACAACTGACCCAAGACCGTTAACCCGCTCCGATGCTACACCGCTACCGTATTCGTGAACAAATTGATATTTATCTCTCTTTCTATTTACATAGGACTGACAGAGAGCTCTATATTACGATATTAAAAGTCAATACAGCGTGGTCGACAGTGAATCATACAACGACAGCCAATTCCGAAGTGCCCTCATTTGTAGATATGACTCTTAATCCAGTTATTATTTTCGACGTTATTATAAGTTTTGAGAATAAAGAAATGTTTTAACAACTGATATTAAAAACTATAGTACGCGAACCAGAAACTTATTTCGTCAATTGCTTTGGAACCACCGCTTTACTTCCTATGGTCGCCATTTCTATGTGCACGGCACAAAAACATTTGTATTCATGAGTATGATTGTTTGTATTGGTCTGGGTGTCTTTTATGTATATTATGTATGTGTTTATAAAAAAAAATATCTAAATATTTATATCAGTTGTCTAGTACCAACAAAAGCTCTGCTTAGATTGGGACTAGATGGCGCTGTGTGCATTGTCCAGGGTTATTAGAAATCCTAATCACGCGGCCAAAAAGCACACACACAGCCAGTAGAATAATAAAAACATATAAAGAAATTAATACGAAAGATGATTCAAATGCAAAGAAAGGCCAGTCAATAACTCTTATTAGGACAAAAACTAAAACGAGTCAGAACAAAGGCCGCGCAGAGATCGCGTTGTTCAGATTGCATCTGAGCGTGTCACACAGAACCGTTAGTGCGAATGTGAACTCATTAACTCTCTTTGTCGCTATTTTTAACAGGATGAAGCATAGCACAATATCCCCCTGTTGATTCACGAACGTTTAATATATATAGATTTGAAGATACTTTAGTAAAACATAATAGATAGACATATGATAAAGATGAGAATTCTTATTTGTATCTTAGTACACACATACAGGCTTAATCTATATATATATAAAAATGAATTGCTGTTCGTTAGTCTCGCAAAAACTCGAGAACGGCTGAACCGATTTGACTAATTTTAGTCTTGAAATTTTCGTGGAAGTCCAAGGAATGTTTAGACGATGATAAAAATGAAGAAATTGCATGTAAAATAGTAAAATCAACAATTATATTTGCCCACATAAACGCCTCATACCTGTCAAACAGGGTGCGTCCAGAAATTTATTGTGTAACTTCAAAAAACCTATTTAAAAAAATATTTAATTTTGAGGCGGAACGGAGTTTGCGGGTCAGCTAGTTAGAAATAATTTAACAATCCAGATTATTTAAACCAATGCAATATAATAAAGGTAAACCTGCATGTGTGCTACAGCAAAACAAAATGGTACACAGCTCAGTAATCTTACATTGTAATATAGAAGAAATAAAAAGAAAAAAAAGCGTTAAATGTAAACTCTACTACTACGACTAAAACGTTATGTATTTGCGCAATGCTCTGAAAACATGATCGCTGAATAAAATCCATTACTTAATGGAATCATATTATTTTATTTAATTAGACATAATTTCAATATGAATGTGGACACAATAATGGTCGGATATTGATCACCAATAGATTGTAACGCTTCCTGTAGCGATGGTCTGGTTTCCGCAAGGAATATTTGTGGTCTCACATATGTTAATGGTAGAATTAAAGAAAGACATAACTTAATTAAACAATATAATATTATGGAATTGTGTAAAGAAATAGACTTCGGAAAATAACATACAATTCAATAAAAAAATATAAAATTAATTAAGCAATATTTAATTTCTTTTTCTATATTCTATATTACAAATGCCAGATATCAAATTTATAATTAGAGGCACGTATTTATATATTCGTATTATATTTTGTCGCAATAATTAATCTAATGACTTACGTACGCATATAATACTATTTCTTAGTTATTGTATAAATAAATTTAAATTAACAACTCACCTTTCGTCGCCACTGGAATGGACTGCCGCGTCATATCCTAAAATATAAAAAAACAAATGAATACTTTATGTCAATTAAAATAAAACACAATTTAGAGCAAAATAATATTACACTTGAAGAAGCTTAGGATGTAAATAAAATATTGGGTAAACTATATACAAATGCCTATAAACCTGTAAGCCCAAAATGAGTGGTAGCAGGACAGACTATTTATAGGAATGACAAATTTTTTAAAGCAGCTCAAGAATATAAAAGGTATCATATAGTATACACAAGTGTGTTCAATGGGACACCGGAAATAACAAAGTTGGCGGCAGGCGTACAGTTCCAAATGACTGTGAGCCCGCATTAGAAAATACTGTGATTCCGCAATAGGCTTTCGAAAATCCACCAAATCCTGACGTAAACATGCGGGCTGTAGTAACCTATTTCGAAGTACGCCGTATTAAATGTTACGTAAAACGCTATAAGCGTTACGATTTCAGTATTTAACAAGCATAAATAAATAACAGTGAACGTGTTTCACTGCGAGCGAGATTGTTGATTAATGTTACACCAAATCTGCATTTCGCCGACGTGTACGGCCGTCAATTTATTTATAGGAGCAGCCGGGTACATTATTGCGAACTCCATAATACTGTATAATTAGAACAGAAATATTGTGATTCACTCTAAATTGCTTCTGCAATTTTATGCTTGCTGAACAGTACACGTCTTATTCACATCAAAATAAAGAAATTTAAAATTGTCATTTGCATATGCGTCCTTTTCTTACTCATTATGGACTTCATATGTCATAATGTAACAAATTTATAGAGTTAGTAACTAACTTAGCCCGACTTCTATTGCTCTTACCATCATTGAAATATGAAAATCATGATACAATCCAAGATCCCGCAAACTTTAAAAACAAAACTATATAACCAATGCGTTCTCCCAGTGATAACATACGCTTGCGAAACGTGAACTCTAACCGCCGAAAGGGTCAACAAGCTACAAGTCACCCAAAGAGCAATGGAGCGATCTATGCTCGGTATCTCCCTATGAGACAGATTGCGGAAGGCTGAGATGAGAAGGCGCACTGGAGTTACCGACATCATCCAAAGAATCGCGCAGCTAAAGTGGCGTTGGGCTGGTCATGTATGTCTGGCTGACATACAGATCCTTAATGTGGCCGCCGACCTAGGATGGGAAGCAGAAGCGTAGGCAGACCAACTGCCAGATGGTCTGAAGATATCAGGAAGACGGCAGGACCGACCTGGACAAGACACGCCACAGACAGACTGAAGTGGAAAATTTTGCAAGAGGCATACGTCCAGCAGTGGACAAATATATGCTGAAAGAAAGAAGAAATGATACAATTAAAAAGACAAAACTCATGTCGTATTGTCAAAATTGTATAGTGTCATAGTTAGAAGGGCAACAGCGCGTGATAAAGCGATATGGCCCTTTGCAAGTTATCCTTAATATACTATACTATAAACGTGAAAGTAACTCTGTCTGTCTGTCTGTCGCGCTGTCACGCCAAAACTACTGAACCGATTAAAATGAAATGTGACACACAGGTACTCCAGATCCTGAGAAAGGATATGGACTACTTTTTAATGGAAAAAAGGTTGTATGAAAGTATCATCATTTTTAAAGCTTGAAACTTAAATGTAAAAACTAATAAAGTAAAACGGTAAAAGAAAAATATATTGAGTAATTATAAATATATATACACTTAGACACTAATTAGAAGCATGCAAAATTAGTTAGTTGCAAATAATTTTGTTACCTTCAATCTATAAAACCGTATAAAAGTTCCATTAAACCAGTCTGCCCGGAAATATTTCTACCTATCTAAAGTGGTTCAATTGAAATAATTGATAAGAGGATCGTAAATCAATTCATTACAGTTACAATTAATCTAATTGACAGCCGAGTCTGGGAATCCGCGAATTTTGTTAATCTTCTATAATTAACTATAACCACTATTCATAAAAACTATAACCTCTAAGTTTATATGAATAGTCCAGTAAAATTTTAAATTAAACATGAAATTTAAAATGTAATTAAAACATTTTAAATTATACATATCATTACATAGTACAAAATAACATCGCTTTCGCTATCTGTCCGTCCCTATGTGTGCTTAAATCTTTAAAACTACGCAACTGATTTGAAACGGTTTTATATAATAGATAGTGATTCTAGAGGAAGGTTCATATATGTACCACGACCGATATCACGTTATCATACAACGATGCTGGTTTAACATTAACACTAGATTTAAAAACGAACTCGGTGGTGTAGTGGTTTAGCATATCGCTTTACTATCCGATGGTCGCGGGTTCGATTCCTCGTACGATACAAACATTTGTATGCATGAGTATGTTTCGGTTACATATATTGTTTGTGTCGGGAATTTTCTATGTATAGTATGTGTGAGAATGTGTGTATTTACGAAAAATATAATATATCTATGTATTTGTATCAGTTCTCTAGTACCCATAACACAAGCTTTAGCTAGCTTAGCTTGGGTCTAGGTGGTGCTGTGTGAATTGTCCTGTGATTATTATTATTATATATTACATGTACACCCGTGCGAAGCCAGGGCGAGCAGCCAGTAATATATTTATTAATACGGGTACAAATAGCTGACCCGCTTATAATATGTCAATAGTATGAACTGTTATATTAAATCTTATAATAATCATCTAATTGTCACTATAAGAGGTCAAAGATTAACACAAGTGCACTGGGGGGGGAAGGGGATTGTTAGTAATGTGGATTGAGAACCCCATTGCTAGCAATGTACCATGTCAGGTCGACCTCCACGCGGTTCCCCCTGGAAACCATCTTGATACATTCTCTGTGAATTTGTCACGTTGGGCTAACTGATCTGACTTCATGCTCATCTTATCATCCTCCACTGGTGCCCCGCCAGCGTAAACCGTTAGCGTAGGCGGGAGCACCATTCCATGATCATCCTTTAAAAAAAAAACACAAGTGCACTTTATATTAACATGCACAGAGAGACAGTTGTTATCGTTAATAAAGTAGATTACATGCATTACACTAGTCTGTTTGTTTGTTGAGATACAATACTATTCGGGAAATTGTAAATGACGGCTATTGTAATGATACCATCATCGCCAACTGCTGTTTACATAATCGTCATTTGTATGCAACTGTCCGTACTGTAATGATAATAATGACTTCATGTTGTAACAATTTGGTTGCCATATTTAGTATACGTTGTGAAATGTATGGAAATTCACCATTAGGAACTTTTAGTTAAAAACAATTCTAGGCTTAGGATAAAAATATAAAAAAAGACGAATTAAAAAAAATCTATGCATATAAATAAAATTGTACTATCTGTTTGCAATATTGAAATAACCGTTTTTTACTACATACATATGAATATAAATACGGTACATACACAAAAATAACATTTTTTTCAATCTTTGTCTGTCTCTCTATTTGTTACAGACAAAAATTGTTCCGCCTAATCTCTAAAATAGCTGGACCGATTTTGATGGGACTTTTATTGGCAGGTAGCTAATGTAATAAGTAGTAACTTAGGCTATCTTTATTTTAGAAAAATAAAGTTAAATACCACGCGGACGTAGTCGCATGTACAGCTAGTATATAATATATTAATAATCTCCCATAGCCTTGTTCTCGTACATTATTTATTTTCCCGTATTTATTACTAATAATATTTTAACACCATATACCACTACATTTCTGCGAGTCCCCAGGAGCGAGGTCAAAGCTCTAACAGTAAAATACCGTTGCATGCCACTCACTGGCTTCAGGGAACTGCAATCTCTTCCAGCCAGTTTACCCTTGTATTACGAGTAATTTACTAAGAGAAGAATCTCCTAATGAGTTCCGTAATAAACCAGTCAGTAATGCTAACGGAGGGTTCCCCAGAACGTCAGTCTTTGTAAAAAACAATAGTAATTGAGGTATTAGTCAACAACAGCCCGTGCATTAGTATGTATTAAAGCTCAAATTACAATGTACAATTTATTGTTATTTTATATGTATGTTACTCTATAACAGTGGTAGGCAAGAAATTTTAGATGGGGTCCGGATAGTGTGTGAAAATTTTAACAAGGTCCTTATAAAAAAAAAGGTCCGCGACCTTCGGAGGTAAAGTGGTGTGCTAAACCGCTAGACCACCGAGGCAATCAAAATAATTATTTAAAATCTGTTTATTTAAAATAACTTTTGTATTCATGAGTATGATTGTATGTATCGGTCTGGCTGTTTTATGTATGTGTTTAAAAAGAACTAACTATTTATTTATATCAGTTGTCTAGTACCCATAACACAAGCTCGGCTTACTGTGGAACTAGATGGCGCTGTGTAAAATATCCAGGCTTATTTCTTTATTTATACTTTCAATGTATTATTAAATTTATATACAAAACATAAGTTTACTAAATTCGACTACTAACTAATTTGTATCACTATTAGCAACATTTTTAGTTACTATACCGTAGTGTTAATATTTTATGAACTATGTACCTATTTCCAGTTAATTCAGCATATTTCTTTTGTAGCATAGGGGACACCTGATGGTAAGTAAATACCACCGCCCATGAGCACCCTTAACACCAGAATTACAAGTGCCTTTCCGACCTTTAAGAAGGAATAAGCTCATGTTTTGAAGGTTTCAATATCATATTGGTCTGAAAATATCATTGCTGGAAGTTGTGAAGGGTGTGGTTATGCGTGGAAAAGTTTCTCTAAAAACGCATGTTGGAAGTCATTCATCCAATTGATCAGGATGGTAGTACAGTTTCTGGCAAGTATTTAATAATAATATCAGGACAATTCACACAGCGCCATCTATACTCAAGTTAAGTTAACTAAAGCTTGTGTTATGGGTACTAGATATCTGATACAAATAGATAGATATTTTTTATTTGTATACAAATATTTGTTACCGTGCGAGGAATCGAACCCGCGACGAAGTCGTCAAACTTTGAACAGCAGGTGTTAATAATGCGACAATACCCCGAGAATTTTCCGGGATACATGCGGCAGAAACTGTACATGCAATGTCTCTCCGCAAAGCCAAAAGGTATAAATTAAAAATCTCATATCAAAATAACTTTTCTACGACCATCGACAAAAGAAACCGTGTATAGTCGCCTTTAGAGCTCGGTATATAAAATCAGGAAGCAATTCTGTCTGTGCATTTACCACGTTTACCTCGCGGTCATTATCAAATTATTGCCGTGAGAAAGACTTAAGATTGTTCACATTGTTTAGCGGCTACATATACATCTATAAATTATATACTGTATCTATATGTGAATATACTATTGTAACAGCATATGCTGGTGGTTACTTTCTCTCTAATTTGGATTTAAAAAATCTGTATTTTTCTAAACATGTGTAAGCTCACTTGAAAAGAATAAGAGCTGAACTTTTCAGTTCTCATCTCGAACTGACGGCAGATTTGACATATGATAACAGTCTGTAATAGACCTACATGAACAAAGATATTGTAGGGCCAATATCTGTTTTAGGCGGTAGATACTAAATTATCTCTAAGTATCGGTTTTGAGTAACAGATAATAAAACCATACTTTTGATTAGCGATTATTCAATATCTACTGGCAATCAAGGTCAGAATAAGAATAAATTTATTTATAGGAAAACTCCCTATGATAAACTTATTCATTAGGACATCGTTGTATCTTCTATATTTAAAATTGTATGCATGAATGTAAAGAAAGAAAGAAAAACAAAAATTTATTCAGTGCTTTTCAACAATGTATCCTAAATTGTTGGTAGATAAATACGAAAACGGTACAATACCGAACCGATACAATACAGTACTATACTGATATCCGGCGGTACCTAAACCATGAATTAGATATCGCTGACACATTATTTCATTCATATCTAGAAACCAATTCACAAAGCAAATTAATCACAATAACGTCACAATTTATTGCCCAAAATAATCTTGTTATTTGTTATCAAATATCTGCAAATTACCGATTACGGTTTTATAACCATAATTTTCAGAAATAGAATGCTAATATAATAAATGCTAAAGTGAGATTGTGTTTGTTACTTTTTTATACTTTGTTTCTTTATTTATAGCACAGAGCAATTTAGGGACAAACGAACTTGCGGCTTATGATGGAGATTACCGCCGCCCATGAGCACTCGTAACACAAGTGGAATTGTAATAAATGCGAAAGTGAGATTGTTTGTTTTTTAAATCACAGGAGACAAACGAATTGCGGCGCACCTGATGATGTGATTACCACCACCCATGAGCAGCCGCAACACCACGGGAATTGCAAGTGCGTTGCCGGCCTCTAAAGAAGGAATATGATATTTTCTAAAAGGTTTCAATATCGCATCGGTTCAGAAATACCATTGGAATGTGATTCCACAATGTCGTTGTTTGTTTGATACATTTTAACGCCTTATCAATCATGAAATTTATCATATAAGTAATATTTGGGATGAAGAAGCACAAAGTCTATTTTTCATCCCGGTCAATCCTGGTCATGTAGACGAAATCGCGTATAAAAGTTGGTATATACAACAATGAATCTCGCAATCAACAATTTTGTCCAAAATATTTATATATAATTACAACAACAAATATGATAACAAAATAATAGCGAGAATGATGATTTTGGATATGCTCATGATAATAAGGAATAATAATTATTAATTCATACTGTTAATAAGTAAGTATAATTAATAACAGAGAATGTGCGAATGATTAGTACCCTGATGATCTAATCTCATGAACGTAAACAAATATACAAATACGAGAACTATTTAATTAAGTACATATTTCTACTTTGAAAACTACTATTGTATACGATCAACAAAAGATTCAATTTGTACCAGTGCTCTAAATATTACAGTACATAACTACATTTAACATCAAACTGATTGGTTCGAGTTTTTGTTACTTGTAATGCAATCATGTAAATCGATTCACTATTGGCAGGCTATTGATTTGTTACTGTGACAAAAACTCAATCCAAACGACACAACACCATAACAAGCTGTTCGTGTGCAAATCATAGAACGTGGAGCAACGTAATCGGAAAGTGTTGGAAACGAGTGCGTGCCGCGGTGCCACCGACCGCGCTGAGTGCGCAGGGGACCCACGTGCGAATGCTCGAGTTGTACCAGAAGTGGCAGGACTAAACAGCTATTATATTATTGCTCGTATTGGTCCATCTACATATGCATCCTGCCACTTCCGTTGCAGCTAAAGCTCAGTATCGAGGACTGTACCGATCGTGAGTTGCGCACGGGCAGCGTGTGCCCGGACTCGCCGGCGCCTTCGCCCTCCGCGCCCTCGCGCAGGAAGCCGCCGTCGTCCGACGACGAGCCCGAGGGATCCTTGCGCGCCATGTCAAACAATCACGTGCCAATCATACAAGACAAAACACAGTGCACAACTTACTGATTCCGTCGCCTCATCGTCCGATTCGCTCATGTCGGGGAAATTTATAAAACTAGCGGCCCTATTGTTCTACGACGAGCGGAAAGTGAAACTGGAATGCTAACACGGCTGAGTGTGGAAAATCGATGCGAGCCGGTGTCCGGCGCGCGTCAGACGTACCCATACAAGTTGGAAGGTCGTCCGGCCATCAATCATCGTCTGATATATACAGCCACGCGACACGCCGTTATAGGCAATGTTTATAAACACTAGCCGTGGAATTATGTAGTTACATGTATTACCCCTGTAGAGTAGGATACGTTCAGTGCCATTTTTTAATGTTTCCTAATGATATGTGACATGTAGCTAGGTGTTGTATGGTGAGCGGCGTGCGCGAACAATGGCGTTGCCTTGGTAACGGTGCAACTTAAAAATAAACGATCCGCCAAGCCACATTCGCCACTACGTGCTGACTGCTAAATGTTCACCTGCCAGCTGATGATGTATGGGAACATTTTCTACATTTTCCCTTGTGAGTACGTAACAGCCGTAACACAGATGCAGTGATTGATTCCATCCATCGATAAATTGATTACTTAATACTTTCACTTTAAATTTCACAGGTGCTCTTCATAATGCAAACTAGAATTCTATAGGTTTGTTAAATATTTTTGAATGCTAGTGACTTCATACTGTAATTTGAATTTCTAGGGATATAGAAGGGCGTCATGGGCCAAACGCACATTCGCCTTTCGCGGATATGTCAGTTCAACTGTGTCATCGTGTAGATTAGCAACGTGCTTCACAACCCAAACAATGAGAGTGATCGCGGCTTGGTACGCAGTTCAAGCGCCCTTGCTAATCAATAAACATAAATGAAGCTTCCGTTCGATTTTATCGCTAATATAATACGCGTTCAATCGTAGCTACGAAAACTATTGTTGGCGAAAGCAAACAAACTGCAACTGCAGGCTTTCAGCAAATTGGGGCGAACTGACCTTTGTGTTAAAGTGAAAACAGCTACCGCTGTAGAATTGGACGGGTACGTGTTTTGAATGGTTGGTATCACATAAATCGGAATTAACGCAAGGCTACCTGCATCAATTGGAGTCAAGCTGGATTAATAACGGTTTTATTAATTTATAGTGATAATGGACGGAGATAAAGCGGCACCACACAACTTGATATTAGTAGGAGCATTATGTATTAGATAACAGATGGAATGAGACCATTAAAATGGTTACAATCGTCGGTAGATTAGATGTTAGCACGTCCTTTGTAGTCACAAATACAATTGTAAATAAATTTCTAATTTGTTTTGCTAACAGCTCTATTCGTGTCGTTGAACTTTATTCGTTCATAATAATCCTGCGGTTTGTTCAAGAAATTGATAACGTTTATGCATTTAATAACTTCAGAAATGAGTACCAGGATAGCATATGTTTACATACCCTAGCGAGTTTGTTGGGCATGGGCTGTAAATGCGGCGTGTGGTGGCGGGGTCCGATGGCGAGCTCAGGGTTGAGGGCGATGATGGCGTCGATCTCCACCTCTTTACCCTTCGTCTCGCCACGCTCGTACCATTCCACTGTGACCGATCTCGACTCATGATTGACCCCCGAAACGATAGCCGAGTGGATGCGACCTGAAATTGAGACAATGGATCACGTTAGAAAGTTTTGATAAATAGATTTTTCGATTTGATTTGCTTTTTAACACACAAGTAGTTATTATAAATAGAAATAGGTAACTTTATTATTGTTGAACTAAATTGAGGACTGCACAATTTAGATTTAAAAGATGATCAAACTGAAATAATGGCTACAGTGAGAGAGCTATCCACTGAATTGCTAAAATTAAATGAATAAGGAACGGTCCTAAGCATCCATACTCTCCTCTGTAATACATTTGATGTTAACTCATTAAGGTTCTTAATTAGTTGATATATTAAAAAAAAATCTAATAGATTTAATTAACTAAGTAATACAATTATTATTCCATAGTCCTAAAAAAGTTATGAAAATACTAATTTGAAATTAAAAACTTAACTAGTAAATTTTTTTTACAAAACAAATATTTTCAATCTTGTACGTACGTTGACAACAATCAGTTAAAATTACCAATCCGATGTATTAATAGATAGATTGATAAATAATTGATTTGCTATTCGAATTTGGTCAGGCCACAAAACAATGTGTAAAGTGAGGAGAGTGAGAGAGTGTGAGTGTAAGAGAGTAAGATGAGTAAAAAAAAGTTTTAGTACATTTTACAACACAAGATGGCATACATACAGTATTGAAATGTATACAATATAATGTTTTCATTTTCATTAAAATACGGTATAAGATACGCTGATCCGTTCCGCTTAATATTTCTAGTGTAGTTACCAATTGAACACTAGTACTTGCCACCTGGCGTGTTCATCACATCAGCAGTACGTATTGTATTGTATTGTGTATTTATACAGATGTTTAAGAAATCAATACATCTGCTTCGAAGAGAAACACGTCGGCACATGATTTTTCATTTCTCCAGATGTTAAACATAGAAAATATGTTTATGTTACATCTAATTGTATGTGCAATAACTTAGTTTTATAAAGAATAACAACCATCCATATATATGTGGTCCGGGTCCCCACCAACATGCTGTTCCCCATCATGAAGGAGGACTACTGGCCGAAGGGGACTATCGGCGCTACCGTGGCAGTGCCATGACCATAGAGACATGCATATTTTATTATTATCTCTTATGTATGTTAGTCTATAAGGTATTTATAATAGGGGCCATGTAGCCTGAATTAATTAAATAAATATATCAAATGTTCTTGAACAGATTCAATGAGAATGGTAATGCAAGTGCAAACATAACTATATTAGTTATTACATGACATCATCCAGGAAAAGTGTCTAATACATTTTGGCGCAGCGGATATAAACAACAAGTCATTGATGACGAATACACAATACGTAGAATCTAGATTTGTATACACTACAATACTTATCTATAAAAATAAAATAATAATAATATTTATTTCCACGAAGAAAAAACATTGTATGAACTATATAAAACAAACAAATATATTTGAGGGTATACAGTTAAAAATCGTTACCTCCTGTGCTAGTTAGATAACTGTGTTACGGCAAGGTAAGAATCTCATAAGAATCTATTCAATTCCGACTTGACATATTTGTACTTAATTTTGGTAAATTTGTATTATTATTTTATTTTTATATTATATTGACATCCATAAAATTGTTATATGGGGCCTGACCAAAATAGATTTACTTAAATAAATGAATTTAAGTCAAATAAAAATGTGAAAAGAGCACGGACTTTGTGTCTGTGGGAAAAAAAAAAGTAAAAATCTCGCACTATATGAATAGGACTCATTTTTAAATGGCATTTGAAATGCCTGTCTGTAAATTCAATTCATTTTTCGCTAAATGCATGTAAAAGTATATAAGTCTTAAAACCACTAGTTATGATGACGACTTCGGCCCTGATGTCGGCCACTGATTGTTCAGGGAGAGAACCCCAAGTAGTGCCCGTGACTTGTGACACGAGTGTAGATTTAAAGGGCCTTTTTAACACTCACCTTCACTACTTGTGGTATCCTCCCAATCCCACTAATAAACCCCTCAATATTTACAATTCCATATATGTATGTTATATGTTTTATAATAATAACACTCCAACCTTTCGCTGTAAAAGTCCAGCTACGAGGGGGGAAAGGAGATTGTTAGTAATGTGGAATAATGGTCATATTGCTAGCAATATACCATGTCTGGTTGACCTCCATGCGTTTCCCCCTGGAAACCATCGTGATAAATTCTTGATGAATTTGCAACGATGGGCTAACTGACCTGATCTCATGCTCATCTTATCATTCTACACTGGTGCCCCGCCAGCGTAAACCGTTAGCGCAGACGGGTGCACCATTCCATTATCATCCATATTAAAAAAAACTCTATCTACGTCAGTTCAATCATCCATCAATCTACTTGTCAATGCCACAAAGATTATTAAGGTTCTGGCGTCTGCCGTTCAGCTTCAGGTTACTCTGAATGCCTTAGATAAAGAAACATGATTATTGACTTTACCATTTTTAATTAATGGTGCCTCACGCGATAGTAACATGAGGTATTTACATTAAAAAATAAATAATTTTGAAAAACTTGATTGAAAATAACCACTTAACAGCTTTCCACGTAAGTACATGTAAAGTCAAAAAATTATTTGATAAAAATTCAGTCCGTCCCACCGTTTGCCCTTACTAATCTCTGAAACGTCTGGATCGATTTTGTCGGGACATTCACTCGGAGTTAGCTAATGTTATAGGGAGTAACTTAGGCTACGTTATATTTTGGAATTTATATTATTTTATTCCACGCGGACGAATTCGCGGGTAATATCTAGTTTTAAATATTACACGAGAATTATAATAGTTAAAATAATTTATTTTTATAGAACTCTTTCGGTCAAAAATGGCAGTCATATATTATTGATTTATTCTGAAATAAAATATATAGCCTGTTTTATTCCACGTATATATTACCGTAAAGATTAATGAAAATCCGTTAAATAGTTTTTGAGTAGTAGCAGTAGTAGAGTAGTAAATAGTTTAAAGAGTAACAAACATCCATTCATCCATCTATCTATCCATACTCGATCCATCGCGATTATAACATTAGAAGAAAAAAATTAAGAAATTAAGAAGCATATATTTAATCGAATTAGGTGTAATTTTGCGGAAGTCCATTCCACTACTCGATGGATTCATATTATTTTGTTTAATTCCGCTACAATTAACATGTGTGAGACTACGAATATTCGGTGTGGAAACCTGACCAGCGCTACGACCTTCTCCAGTGGTGATCAAATTCCGTTACTGAGTCTACATCTCATCGGCGTGTTGAGTCGCGGTTTGGTCGTTGATGAGTCGACCCTAGCTAGGCTTCCGAGCTGTACCCGAACTCTAATTAACGCCTGATGATGCCTCGTTCAGAGGCGAAACACGTGTCGCGATATGGGTGTAGACTCAATAACGGTCGGAATTTGATCGCCACTGGAGATGGTCGTAGCGCTGGTCAGGTTTCCACACCGAATATTCGTAGTCTCACACATGTTAATTGTAGCGAAATTAAACAAAATAATATGAATCCATCGAGTAGTGAAATTAAGAAGCGTATAAAGATTAAAACAAATTCAACATGGAGGTGAAACATTAGAAAATAAATTTAAAAGGCTATAAAGAATATAAATAGATTTTTACGATGCAGTAGGACTCAGTTTGGTTTGGTTCAGCCAGTCCATTTGAATCGTCAAGAGATATTCAAATTCTGCTAACAATATATATATATATATATATAGTAACTGACCCAGCAAACGTTGTTTTGCCATATAAATTCAAGTCGCTATTAAAAAATAGGGGTTGGTGATAGAAGGGTGAAAATTTTGAAATATATAAAAAAGTAAAGTAGACCATCGAAACAATCAAATTATTATTTAAAATGGCTATGAAAATAAAACACAGTCTTTGTCTGCTGATAGTAGAGCTATAGGTCTCTATGTGTGTCAGTTTTCTATAGGTGAAATAATTCTTTTAAAAATTTATGTATTTTGACTTTATTCATACAACTCCATTCAGTATAATATTTTAGATAAAATTTTGTATTTTTATAATTTAGGCACGTAAAAGGTAATAATGGAACTGGACCTTTAGCTTTAGACCTTCATTTTTAACGACTGTCAGCGGGTTCAATTATACTTCATAAGGGTAAGGTCGGCTAAGTATTTTGAGTTCATCCAAACAACTCTACTTTGTATAATATAAATTTAGATTAAATTGAGTATTTTTATGAGTTAGAGAGTTAAAAGGTATTTTTTTTTATAGTAATATCTGCCGCTTCCTTTGTAGCAACATCTTTTTTTTTTTTTAAGTATCCTGTACATGTGGTTCATTTTTTTTTTAATATCCTTATACTACTTATTGTGTACCTGTAATACCCTAATTATACATAAATAGTTACACTTACTTATTATTATTACTTATGGTTTTCAAGTCTCCTATTACATACTCTAAAAATATTTGTCTATCATATACAATGGATAAACATGGATCAAAAGCTTTAGCAGATCCTTCATTTTTAACGACTGTCAGCGCGTTCAATTATACCTCGTAAGGGCAAGGTCGGCGACCTTTCTCGCACGACCTGCCTTCCCATTATTATTGTCTATCCAAACTGGGAACAACACTGAATTGCCAAAGCAGTAGACCTACAAGGTATTTTCACTCTTATTACGTACCACACAAAGGTTAGAAGAAAAATGAAACTTTATATGATCATATAAACTTGCACCAGTATTGGTATGCTTGCTACATATTGTAAACAATGCTATAATAAGAATTCCTGTAGAAAGAAATTATAAACATACACAAGATAATGATAACGATAATAATAATAATAAAATAAGAAAAATAAAATAGTTTACCTTATCCTCTATCAACACATACAGAAAAAATTACTAAGTATACTGATCTAGCAATAGAACTAAAACAGCAATGGCAGGCAGAAACAGTAAAAACTCTCTCAATTATTATTTCGTCCACACCTTGTCGTTCCAACATCCTTACACTCTAGA